TGTGTACTGCCATACCCAGCCAGTTTGCTAGCTAGTTTGCTTGCTGTTCCCAACACTCCCACCTCATTAATGCTAGGCAAGAGTTATACTACCATGTTATCCCCCTAGTCCCTTTCTGTTTAATTTTGTTTTTTAAAAATGCCATGTGTTTTGGTGTATATGTGTAGCCCCAGCACTAGGGAGGTGGAGACAGAAGGATCTGGAGTTTGAGGCCAGTTTTGAGACATCCCTGTCAAATAAAGACAACAAAACAGAAATGTCTTATCGCTAGTGATTTGGACCTTAGCTTACTCTTCTGTTGCTGTGACAAAACACTACAGCCAAAAGCATCTCAAGGAGGAAAGGGTTTATTTTACAATAGTAGTTCACCATTCAATCCTGAAGAGAAGTCAGGACAGGGACCTGGAGGCAGGAACTGATGTGGAGGAAGGCGGCTTCCTGGCTTGCTCAGCTGTTTTTTGTTTTTGTTTTGTTTTTTAGTTTTTCCAGATAAGATTTTTTTGGAAATGTATCTTAAGTATTTTTGAACCTGTATTCACCTTGTTTTTTTCAAATATCTTGTTATATTTTCTTTTTCAGAGCTGCTTCTTATTTGGGGCTACTTTTTTTTTTTTTTTTTTTTTTTGGTTTTTCGAGACAGGGTTTCTCTGCGTAGCTTTGCGCCTTTCCTGGAGCTCACTTGGTAGCCCAGGCTGGCCTCGAACTCACAGAGATCCGCCTGGCTCTGCCTCCGGAGTGCTGGGATTAAAGGCGTGCGCCACCACCGCCCGGCCTACTTTTTTTTTTTTTTTTTTTTTTTTAAATTGAGGCGTAATTCATAAAAGGGTACATTGTTTTGATGAGACTTTTTACAACTGTGGCTGGATGTCTTTCTTTAGTCTTCCAAGAAGGGCCATTTTACTTTTTTAGAGTTACTGTTTAAAGTCATGAGGTCAACAACTTGGACTACTATGCATGTAAGTGCTAATGCAAATTAAAGCCCAAGTTGACCTCCAGCAGCAGTTCATTCTATGTTGACAGTGAGAGAACACTTTGCCTGTTAGGATACTGTTACTCGTGGACTGAAATGCTGAAGAAACCCCTCCCCCTATTTTGTTTTTTGCAAAAATCAAGGTATATTCTAGGGTTTCCTGGTTGACCTCAACAGATAAACTGAGCTGGTAGTCTTAGTTTAGAAATTATCTGAATGTAGATTTACAGTCTACGTGTACAGCTGGCTAAGTGAGATCGCTTTCACAGTTCTGCATGTATCCCATCAGCTCCCCATTAGTTACTGAACTCTTAAAACTGGTATTGTAACATTACCACAATGTTTTGCGCCGATTTTATAAACTTAGTGCAATATGTGTTCCTTTTCTGAGGCAAACCAAAGGTATATTTCTCAAGGTTCTGCTGCTATCAGCAGCGTTGATGGAGGATCTTTTATACATTTGTAATAGATAGAAATAAACCAGATTGCAGTTTTTGTTTTTCTTTTTTTGAAAATTTAAACCATGTACCAAGTTTCTGGTCAAGATTGTGTATGATAAGTTAAACATAATTGCATTCTGTTAACCAATATGAGTGTATTTCTTATGAATATAGTTACATTGAAATAAAGTTTTAAAAAGCAAAAAAAAAAAAAAAAGATTTTTTTTTTTGGGTAGCCTTGGCTATCCTGGAACTCACTCTGTAGGTCAGGCTAGCCTTGAATTCACAGAGATCCACCTGCCTCTGCCTCAGCAGTGCTGGGATTAAAGGCATGTGCCACCACAGCCTGGCCTCAGATAGCTTTTTTTTTTTTTTTAAATCAGTACCACCTGCCTGGGGTGGCACTGTCCATATTGGGCTGGGCCCTCCCACATCAATCATTAATCAAGAAAATGCCTGCTTAGACTTGTCTACAGACTAACCTGATGGAGGCATTTTCTCACTTGAGGTTCTCACTTCTCAGATGACCCTAGCCTGTGTCAAGTTGAAAGAAAATGTAGCTGGAGAGTTTGCTCTCTGGGTCCTGCCAAGCCCTGGCAGTCTGACAGCCCACTTATAAAATAAACACACAGACACTTATATTATTTAAACTGTTTGGCCTAATGGCTCAGGTTTCTAGCTATCTAGTTCTTACATCTTAAATTAATCCATTTCTATAAATCTATACTTTGCCATGTGGCTCGTGGCTTACCTGCATCTTCACATGCTGCTTGTCATGGCAGCGGCTGGCAGTGTCTCCCTCCACCTTCCTGTTCTCTCAGTTCTCCTCTCTGTTAGTCCCGCCTATACTTCCTACCTGGCCACTGGCCCATCAGTGTTTTATTTATTGACCAATCAGAGCAGCACATTTGACATACAGACCATCCCACAGCAAGAAAACTAACAGGTTGAAAGGTATATCTTCTTAGGCAGCTTACTGTATTCTTTCCTGGAGTCTATGTTCTAGAGGGTTCAAGATTTCCTAAGAATCAGCAGCATTTCACAGAGACCTTATGCAGCCTGTTCCAGTGGTAACTGTAGACAAAAGATAATGCCACCCATCCACCAACTAGGTCTTTGTAAGCATTTGCCCTGAACTAAGATGTACAGTCAGCTTATGGAAAGGTTCCAACTCTTAGTTCAGGCTGGCAAGAGGAGAGTTAACTGAAATAAAAACAATAAAAGGCTGAGGCAGTAAGACAGGAGCTACACTCAGTAACAGGGTATATTTAAATCTCTGGCCCAACTAGCAGCCCATGTTATAGGGAGAGGGCCTTAGACATTGACTAGCTGCAGGGATGTCTTCCATATCCAGCGCACATGTTGAGATCAGAGGACAGCTCTGGCATTAGTCTTTGCCTCCGATCTCTAGCAGGAGTGCTGGGATTACAGATACTTTCTCATGCTTGCATGGCAAATTCTTGTATCCACTGTGTTATTTTCCTTCCCCCTTCTATTTAATATTAATTATTTATTTTGAGGCCAGGTATCAAGTGTCCTAGGCTGGCCTAGACTCCATGTGTAGCTGAGGATGACCTTGAATCCCTGGTGTCCTACCTCCACCTCCTGAATGCTGAGGTGATAGGAATGTGTCAGCACATCTGGGCTTCATGCATACTAGCACTCTGCTAACTGGACTGTATCCCTAGCCCCAAATTAAAAATTTTGTTTAGACCCACTCTTCCCCCCCCCCCCCAAGATAGGGTTCTCTGTGTATCCCTGGCTGTTTGGAACTCACTCTTGAGTCCTGACTGGCCTGGAACTCAGAGATCTGCCAGCCTCTGTCACTCTTCCTAGTGCTGGGATCAAAGGTGTAGGTCATCATTGCTCCCATGTTTAGACCCGCTTTTAAAAAGCCTGCCCTCCAAGCATCTCCTTGTCTTTCACTGGGCAGGTAATTCATCTGGCATGGTGGCATTGTTTAACTCTGATTGCTACGAGTAGTATTTATCAACTGTATCAAGCTCTATGAGAGACATACTTGCAAGGGGGGCCAAATCTTGAACAGAAATGTTAAAGGACAACAGTGGAACAGTAACATCTGAATTGCCACCAGGTGGCAGCACATAATTTGTGCCAGAAAGGTTCTGAACAGGCCAGAGAACTAGGCTGGAGTGATCTCCATTCAGACATCTGTGAGCAACTAATTAGTCTTCCTCAAACAATGCCCTGTTTAGGTTATGTTTCTGTTCAAGAACAAATCACACAAGCATTAAAACAAAAATATTTTATTATTCAAGCTCCATCCACATTCAGCCTCTTCCAATTTTATTTCCTACCATACATTTTCTTAAACTCGGTTGCCATCAGGACCACCTTTATTCTGTTGTTATTACTATTTTCATTGTTGGGGATTGAACCCAAGGCCACATGGTACACTCTCTACCATCGCCTTCTGCCCCTAGTCCTATTCCAATTATGTTCCACATATTTGCCAAGAATCTCTACTTCCAGGAAGAGGGAAGTCTAAAGATTTTTAAGGGAGGCCCCTAAACTCTGGGAGAAAGGCCCATATTCCACCGTGTCTGTCTGTCCTTATACTTTTTATTTTGTTAACTTTTCGAGGCTGGCCTCGAATTCACAAAGATCCACCTGCCTCCGCCTCCCGAGTGCTGGTATTAAAGGCGTGCGCCACCACCGCCCGGCTGTCATTCCTCTATTGCAGTCTGCTCAGGTGTAAGAATATAAACTCTTGAGATCCGTGGGTATGGAAAGTGTGAGGAAATATGTACCTGACGAACAGTTGGGTAAATTCTTATTTATTCCTCACGAAGATCTTTCATAATTCTCCTTTTCTTTTTTCTTCTTGGTTTTTCGAGACAGGTTTCTCTGTGTAGCTTTGTGCCTTTCCTGCATCTCGCTCTGTAGACCAGGCTGGCCTCGAACTCAGAGAGAACCCCCTGCCTCTTGCCTCTCGAGTGCTGGGAATAAAGGCGTGCACCACCACCGCCCAACCCATAATTCTCCTTTTCAAGCCAGCTTGTGATACCCATCCTCTAAGTCTTCACCAAGTCCAATCTCTTCCCTCGGCATTTCGTTTGGTTGCTTTTTCTCAAGTCGCTAGGAATTATGTATTAATTTCAGTTTCTCATTACTCTGCAATCCTGCAGTACATCACATTCGATCTTGCAGGACACCTTATTCAAAAGCCGCGCCAGTTTAGTGCTTGTTCAATTGGCTTAATTAATTATCAATTGCTTCTGTTTGGGGGGTTTGATTGGTTTATCTTTTGTTTACCGTCCCGCCCTCTTAGAGACTCTTTAGACTAGGTTTTCCCCCAGGTGTATTCTCTGCCCTTCGGTTCCGCTTTTTCAACACACTGTCTCTACTGTTTTTACCTCCACTCCCTTTCTATTGGTTCCCTTCGTCTTCTCAGAGTTGGCGCCTAGCGATGCTGATTGGCTTCTCTGAACGCCCATTGTGCCCACCCTCGTACCACGTGGCATCCCTAGCGTTAATTGGACAACCCCGCTAGCTCGTTTGTCAAAGATCGACGACTGATTGGCTGCTTCCGAGGGAGGCCTGAAGAGGGGCGGAGCCCCCGGAGCCCCCGCCCCCGGTCCCCTGCCCCCAAGCGTTTCAGACGCTCACCCGCGGGGAGCCGAGAGTTTCCAGCTGCCCTCTCAGTCCCAGCGGTGATCCGCCTCCGGGCCCCGCCGCCGAGCCGGCGGGGGAAAGCAGCCCAGACCTCAAGGCCATGGCAGTAGCCTCCCGCTCCTGCGCTGCCGCTGGCCCCGCGGAATCGCCGGCTTCTGCGCGAGGGACCCCCACCTCCTCCGCAGGCTAAACAGCCACGGCCGGCAGCTGCTATGCTGGCTCTGGGCCGCCAGCTCCCTCGCCCTCCGGCCCGCGCAGACGCCCCCTCGGTGGCTCAGTCCTGCCTCAGGTAACGTCGGGAGAGGGTCTGAGGAACCAGGCTCTGCATCCCTGCCGCGCGCGCAGCCTCTGCTCCCGGGTCGCCGAGCACTGGACAGCCTGGTGCCTTCCTTGAGACTCTAGTAGAGGCAGGGCACAGTCTCTCGTCCCTTTCCCCCCTTCCTTTTCCTCCTTTCTTCTCTCCGGGTCCCGGGACAGTGCTCACCTTCTCGCTTCAGAGGCCGGGAACCCATTGGAAGTTACACCTCGCATCGACATTGTGGTGTCTGACCTTCCTCACTTGGGAAGTTCTGGAATCCTTCGCGTCCCGCTCCCCTACCGAGTGTGCCTCACTGGTCTCAGTACCCCCTTCTCCCGCTGAGATGTGGATTCCTTACCTCCCACCAAACGTGCCCATCCCTCCTAAACACCCTGACTTCCAAGAGACTTCCTCCCTTCTCTCTTCTTTTACTGATTTACTTTTTACACTTCTTTTTGAAGACCCTAATCTAAACTGCGATTCAGACTTAGCTGGAAATAAGTTCCAGATTAGTCGAATTGAAAAACTTCTCAATTTATACCTCCGAGAAAAACTTGTTAAAGAAGTTGGGCTTTATTCTGTAGGGACAGGGAGCCATTGAAGGTGTAAACAGGAGCTTGGTATGGCTTATCTCTGGAAAATGTGAGGGAAAGATTGAAAGTGAAGACGGGAGGGCAGAAGGCCTCCGTAGGCAGGAAACTTGTGTTACTGTGGGTAAGAAAGGATGAATGGACTGGAATAGTTGTAGGAGAATGAAGAGAATGGCATGAAATTCCAAAAATTTTCAAAATAGAGTTGAGAGGTTTCTTGTTTTCCCTGCTTTGGTGAGCAAGGGGTTTCTCATTGGTCTATGGTCTTGGGTTGGTGGTGTTAATGGAAACGGACTGAAAAGAAGCAATTCTGAAGAATAATAAATTTGGCTGTAGCCAAGTTCAATTCGAGTGTTTCAGATGGAGCTGGGAAATTGAGCATAAACTGAGAAAGTTTGGATATAAAGACCTGAATTTGAGAGTGCAGAGAGAATATATAGGGATTCTTGTAGTGGGAGGTAGTAATCCTGAAAGCGGAGAATTGGGCTGTGGGTCAGAAGCAGCATCACTGAGGACAGCAGACACTGCAAGAGAGGTTTAAAGGGTCGGGGCAGGAACTAGAACACAATGGCGGTGTTGCAGAGCCACAGGAAGATGGCTTGAAGAAGGGAGGGGAATAGTACCCTGTGTCAGGTGCGCCCGAGGTCAGGTTCATTCCAGTTAGAAGCAAGTGGGTTTAGCAATTGGGAGTTCACCTGTTTCTTTCCAGGGCAGTTTTGGTGATAGAGCAGTAAGCATGGATTTAGGAGTAAACAGAAGGCGGTGATGATGAGTAAAAAGGTTTTCTTTTCTTTTTTTGTTTGTTTGCTTGAGTCAGGGTTGTATAGCTCAGGCCAGCCTCAAACTATGTGCGTGTTATCACACTAGACTGGCCTTATTTTCATTGTCGTAGTTATCTGTGGATAAATAATTTTTTTTTCCTGAAGGTTGAAGGAGCTGTAGTGAGTTTCTGACATGCGCATTATAGCCATAGGACTCAGTGGAAAATATCAAGGATTTATTACTATTATTATTATTATTATTATTATTTTAGATTTATTTTTATGTTATGTGATGAGTGGTTTCTTGTTGGTTTGTTTTGAGACAGGATCTCACTGTGTAGCTCTGACTGGCTTGGAACTCACTATGTAGATTATGCTGTCCAGCTATGAAGTGTGACTGTTGGCCTGTGTGTATGTTTGTTACCACATGTGTGACGGTGCCCTCAGTAGTCAGAAAAGGGCATTAGGTTCCCTGGACCTGGAGTTATGGATCGTGGTGAGCTGCTTATGTGGGTGCTAGGGCTTGAATCCAGATCCTCTAGAAGAGCAACAAGTGCTCTAAACTGAGCCATCTCTAGCACCAAGGATAAAGGATTTTTTTTTTTTTTTTTGAGACAGGGTTTCACTGCATAGCCCTGGCTGTCCTGGAACTCTTTGTAGATCAGGCTGTCCTTGAACTTAGAGATCTACCTGCTTCTGCTGGGATCAAAGGTGTGTGCCACCACCAGATTTTGCTTTTTCTCCAGTACCCTAAGAGCAGGAAGGGGTGGGGGGAAAGATTGTGCTAATCCAAAACTGGAATTTGCAAAGCAGAAATAGAAAATGGGGAGCCACTTTACATTGCTAGTGGTAGTGTGGGATCTGTGATCAACCGCACAGTCTAAACTGGAGGTTAGAAGAAGTAAAATCTGGAATTGAAGAGATGGCTCAGCTCTTCCAGAGGACTCAGGTTCGGTTCCCAGTGCTCACATGCCAGCTGTGTGTAACTCCAGTCCTGGGAAATCCAACACCCTCTTCTGGCCTCCTTGGGCAGTGCATGCACACAATACACAGACATACATGTAGGCAAGACATTCATACACATGAAATAATAGACATTTAAAAAAGAAGTAAAATCTTTAAGAAGGCTAGTGTACTTGGAGAATGAAGAGATAACCAGAAATGTGATTGTCAGAATACATGAGTGGAAAGTTCAGAGTTCTTTCAAAGCAAAGGGAGGGGAGAAAAGGTGTAACTGTCTTAGTGCTGTTGAAGGGAAATGGAGCTATAGGTTATTAAAATGGTCTATGTTGACTATGTCATCATATGGATGTCATACTTAACCAGTATGATAGCAGGAGATATTAAGTCCAGTGGGTGAGGCCTATTAACACCAAGGAGGGACTCAAATTGGAGATTCCTTGGTGTTTGTTAAAAACTAGTATTCAATGGTACAGATGCTTGTTTCTGAATTAACAGTGATGTTCTCAGATATCTGGGTGATTTCAATGCATGCTGTGTTACTTTGTTATAGAGATAAATGTTTGATATGGCCTCAAACACTATCCTGTGTGATTTGGCATATGACAGTCTTAATTCTGTTTAAGACATGTACATAGCTAGGAGGCTAATAATCTGCTCTCCAATGATGCTTTCTACTTATAGTTTCAGTTCATTATCAGAAGAAAATTGGGCACCAGGCAGTGGTGGTACATGCCTTTAATCCCAGCCCTTGGGAGGCAGAGCCAGGCAGATCTTTGTGTGTTCAAGGCCAGCCTGGTCTACAGAGTGAGATCCAGGAAAGGCACAAAGCTACACAGAGAAACCCTGTTCGAAAAAACAAAAAAAAAAAAAAAGAAGAAGAAGAAGAAGAAAAAATGGGGCTGGAGAGATGGCTCAGAGGTTAAGAGCACTGCCAGCTCTTCCAGAGGCCCTGAGTTCAATTCCCAGCAACCACATGGTGGCTCACAACCATCCATGATAAGCTCTAGTGCCCTCTTTTGGCCTGCACGTGTACATGCAGGCAGAACATTATACATAATAAATAAACCTAAAAAAAAAAAAGAAGAAAATTGTGGGGTTGGAGAGATGGCTCAGTGGTTAAGAGCACTGATTGTTCTTCCAGAGGACCCAGGTTCAATTCCCAGCACCCACATGGCAGCTCACACCTGTCTGTAACTCTAGTTCTAGGGGATCTGACACCTTCATACTAATGCACATAAAGTTAAATTATTTTAAAAATGCTGGGCAATGGTAGCGCACGCCTTTAATCCCAGCACTTGGGAGGCAGAGCCAGGTGGATCTCTGTGAGTTCAAGGCTAGGCTGGTGTACAGAGCAAGATCCAGGACAAGCACCATACACAGAGAAACCCTGTCTCGAAAAAACAAAAACAAAAACAAATTTATTTAAAAAAAAAAAAAAAGAAAGAAAGAAAGAAAATTGTTCCCTGGCTTATTTGGAGTAGAAAGGGGATTTGCTTTTAAAAAGGTATTCCTCCTTTATATTAAAGAACTTATAAATACATTGTTAATATCATACACTTAATTTTATTCTGAAATATGTTTTATTGGAGTTTGAAATCTGGGATAGGGGCTTTTATGGGAAGTTTATCTCCTTCTGGTAATGGAGCCTAATTTACATTTTTTTTTGTGGGGGTGATGTAAATGTTTTGGACCAACAATGGGCATTGTGCTATTTTCCAAGTCATCAAATGAAGATGACTCAGTGTGGTCTCAGGGTTATTTTTTCTGAGTGTTCAGAGGGGTTGGTGGTTAAAGAGTGTATTGGTAATAATGTGTCAACCATACATTCTACTTTTGTTTGTTTGTTTGTTTTTTGAGACAGAGTTGCTCTGTGTAGTTTTGGTGCCTGTCCTGGATCTCACTCTGTAGACCAGGCTGGCCTCAAACTCACAGAGATCCGTCTGGCTCTGCCTCCGGAGTGCTGGGATTGATTAAAGGCATGCCCACCAATGCCCGGCTCAACTATCCATT